AAATGTTTCTCAGGTATGGTACTTTACTCATTTAAATTGGCTAATAGGGGAAGAAGATAAGTTATGCACATAAGGTGCTCGATGAAATGCCCGAATTCAGAAAAATGGAACTTGAATGCTTGCAGTTGTAATCTTATATGAATATAATGTTAGATGTCTCATTTTGCAGTTAATCATCAATGAATACTCCATGAGGCTGGTCCGAGAGGAGCAAGGCAAGCAACCACAACCAGTATATTTATGTGTGAATTTATGTTTGAATGACTATATCTATTTATGAATAACAGGGTATTCACTTGTGAATATCAGTGTATTTATGTGTGAATGACTATATAATTATACATAATTGTTTCATTAACATTTTTGCAGATACAATGAATAAACATGCATATAGTGGGAGGTGAGAGATTTACCAAATGAAACACCGACACCAATACCTCTTTTGGAAGGAGAAAAAATGTGTTTTATTCATTTATGATTGTAATTGTAGCACTAGTTTCCGTGTCAAAAAATATATATATATTGTAACTTATTCATTTACTATTATAATTATATTCTTATATGAATAGAAATGTGTTTTATTTATTTATATATGAGTACCATTTTAGTTGATTTTATAATCTTTTTTTCGGGTTTTATTCATTTATGATTTTACAAGTGTATTCATAAATACAACTGAGTTAATTCATTTATAATTTACAATTTTATTCATTTTTAAATGTAATGTATAAATCATTATTTATGAAGATATGTTTTTTTAAATAAATGAGGTAAACCGATAAATTATTCATTATCAAATGTTGTTAGTAAAAATAAAAATATAAAACAAATAAACGTTTTTTTTTTAATTCATGTTAAATGATATTTTTATTAATTTATTAATTAAAAGGAAGATTTTAAGTATTCTTAATAATTGGGGAAAAAATTCCCATGATTTTCGGAATTGATTAATTACTTTCCATTTATCCATATTTAATTAAATTGTAAAATGCCTCTAATGCCCTTATAAAATAATTGGTCCACAACTGTTCTCGCGTTCTCAACCTTTTAGGTGTTCTCATTTGATCATTTCCCTATATATATATATATATATATATATATATATATATATATATATATATATATTATATATATATATATATATAGAGAGAGAGAGAGAGAGAGAGATGAGAAGTATAACATATGTATGAGTTTTAATTAATTATCTTTTTGAAACGATACAATTACAAAACAAAAAAAAACATATTTAAAATATTTAATTAAATATTTTCGACATTACATATATAACATATGATCAATATATTAACGATTAAACCACAATATACAACGACTGTATTACAATAATCCAAAAACGAATAAAATTTAAAAGTAAATTAGTATAATAAACTTACAAATTAAAAGCTCTAATATAATAGCATATCCCCAAAAGTGGTCATAAGACCTCAACCAAACACAAAAACCTTTAAGTTTGTTTTCTTTCTGAAATTTGTATATGATTTGTATGCATGTCTTCCCAAAAGATTGACCTTTTTATAGTAAACTTTTCACTAAATGCTAATTAAACATAATATAAGTTATAAAAATTTTGAGTGTTAAATCATAATTATGAAAACTTTTGAGTTGCATTAGTTAAAAAATGGGGTTTCAAATGAATGTGGTTTGAGGAAGTTAAAAAAGGAGGTTTCAAATGCGTGAGATTCAAGAAAAAATGCTAGCTTTATAAGTACTAGCAATGGAGACGACGCCTTGCAACAATGAAGTAGATGAAGTTTTTAATTATTTTCCCCAAAACGTCGAAAAGTATCAGAGAAATTAGAGTTGGAGAGAAAAAAGGAATCGTATCAATAAAAATTGAGATCTTGTATCAGATAAACATGGAAACAATTTTGAATAATTCAAGTAATTAGAAAAAAAATGAACGTATTAGATGATTTGCTACAAAACGATGGCGTTTCAAATGGTTCTATACCCAATCTTAGTTACCCAACAACCACATATTCACTTTTCTATATATATATATATATATATATATATATATATATATATATATATATATATATATATATATATATATATAATATATATTAATTTGCAAGTTTGGTTTTCGGTGCATGATACTGTTCATTTGTTTTTGACTATTTCCAAAGCACAAATAACTATATTCAAATTAAGTTATTATATAGACATGATACGGTACAAGCTCTAAAATAAGTCTTCTTTTGAAAATAAAGATTTTTGTTTCTAATAATAGCAAATCTTTATATTTACCTTTCTTTTCCTTAAGTAATTTTACAGTTAATATTATTAGTATTATAAGTTGGGACTTATGTCTTTTACTATATTTTAAAGTTATGATTTTTGTCACTTACATTATTTTTTGTCTTCTTTTTTATTAATTTCCTTAAGATACATTTTTCAGTATTATTTTCGTCCGCCTTCTCCATTAATAATTTTTTGGATTGAAACTTTATTTTTATACTTTTGTGTTGGTATAATCGTTACCATGATATGCGTGGATTGTTAACAGTTGTAAATTACAATCTATACACAAATTGTTAAGGAGTTACCCCACACATCAAAGTTATGTTTTCGCTAGTCGCATAATTTCTTTTTATAGTTTTTGTTTTTATGAATTTCTTAAGATATACTTTCAACTTTATATTTGTCTGCCTCTAAACTTTATTTTGATACTTTTGTGGTCTATTTTAGATACTTTAATCATCTTTGTGCTATATATGGACTATTGATATTCGTAAATCACATCATATATGTGAATTGCAAAGGAATTAATCCGCACATCAAAGTTATGTTTTGATCTCTTATATAATTTTTTTTTATAGTTTTCGTTTTTATTATTTGAAAACGAGTTCTCCGACGCAACGCACGTAATGACTTAAATACTAGTTTGTATTGAATGTGAAAAACTCTTTTATGAGAAATTAACCGATCCGCATGTTATTAGATCTTATCCTTTCTTTCTAAATCTAGGCCTTCTATTCTTTATATAGGGTTAATGACCGGGAAAGGTAACGAACTTTGGTCTTTTTCTATATTTAGGTAACCATGTTTTTTTTCGTACACATTTTACCATTGAACTTGTTTGATTTGTTTAAAATAGGATAATATGACTGATAATTATCGGTAATATTACTCTATTATAAACAGGTCAAACAAGTTTATTGGTCAAATATGTACAAAAAAACATGGTTACTTGAATATAGATAAGAACCAAAGTTCCTTGCCTGTCTTGGAAATATTGAGTTCTTTATGCTAAGTGCAAGTAATCATAATACCGACTAATGTGAGATGAAATCGCCCTGTTAGGTCTATATGTTAGATATAGAGTAGGTGTCGTCAGCGGGTTCCTGACTTGATTCCTAAGTGAGATCATACAACAAAAGTGTTAGAACCGTCTTAGGGACTATGCCCTGGGACCAAGCTCCGACAGTCACGTTAGATCGATGTGTATGAGGAGATTGTTTATCCTGGCCGGAGTGGGAAGAATATATGTATAAACTGGAGGGTTATGTTTGAGAATGGGAGATCCTCCTCATGGAGGAGGAGGAGGAGGTGTAAAGAATTTGGTTTTTATCCATATTTAGGTTAAACATGACCATCTTTTCATACATAAAGACTTGATAGCCCGATTCCATGTCACATATTGTACTTAACATAAATAACCCAATATTTCCAAAACGGGTAAGGAACTTTGGTTTTTGTCCATATATAGGTAACTATGTTTTCTCGTACACAATTGACCACTAAACTTGTTAGACTTGTTCATAATAGGGTAATATTACTTCGAACAGGCCAAACAAATTCAATGATCAATGTATACGAAAAAAACATAGTTACCTAAATGTGGACAAAAACCAAAGTTCGTTACCTTTCTAGATCATTAACCCCTTTATCTAACCCTATTTTCATGGCCTCACCATGACAAAGCTACCTATATAGAAAAGTGCTACCGAGAAACGAGCACAAATGATGCATCCCTTTGATCTTAGACCTAGTCCGTCTAAACTACGATGTATGTTGTGAGTTATTCAATACTCACTGCATCAGTTGAGTTTATCACATCATCTAGACAAGTTTACAAAAGTGTTATGTCAGCAATGACTAAGTTTACAAAAATATAATATCAACAATGACTAAGTAAAAGAAAATGTTAACAAAAGTTCAATGGTTTCACACTTGAGTATACATCTAATCTAAATCTGATAGTCATTGATTGACAACCATCATATACAAATAATAAGACTCTTACGTCTAGTTCCAAAGTTGTAGTGGAGAAAAGAAAGGAAGAGAAAAGGAAGTAAGGAGAGAAAAAAAGAGAAACGAAAAGAAAATAAATTTGTTTTTGTGTTCCCGGGTCGGAGAGAAGTGAAATAAAAATTAAACATTTTGTTCTTTCTCTCCAAATCCTTTCAAATCGGAAGGAAAGTGAGGAGGGAAAGTGATCCTTCCATTTCCTTCCACTTCTTTCATTTAATGAAACTCGCAAACACCAAATTTTTTTTATTTTCTTCTCACTTCCACCTATTTCTTTCTTTTCCTTCGTTAAATTGAACTCGAAAACAGGGTGTAAGTGTTTACAAAAGCCTGAAAAAAAAGACTATCATTTCAAATCTGGTACCAAAAAATAGAACGGTTTTAAGACCGACCTGAAACCAAACTCTCTAGGAGAGCTGATGTGCATCTCTATTTTGGGGTCTCGATCATGTCTGTGAGTTTTTCAAGAACAGGCCGGATGCAATCCGGATATACTTTTTCAGACTTGTTAGTTTAGTTATTAACCGATTTATGAAAAAAAAAAAAAAAAAAAGTTCACCAAGAGCCCACATTTCGTAAACAGGTAGAATGCTAGATACGCTGAACTGGGCCTTTAACTATGAACCATCAAATCCATAATGTGATACCGATTACAGACTTCATGTTCATCAACACAGGTCACACCGTCACCGACTCAAGTCGACTATACTGTAAGAGTTGTGTAAGGTATGTTGTTTCATCGCCACGCTATTTCTTCTCATCTCAACGCATCTAGAAGCTCGACTGCAGTTAGGGTTTGGATTCAATTTACAGCTTCAATTTCGAGTCTCAAAGTAGTTTGGCGTAGAGACCAAAAGCTAGACCAAGCAATCGAGAACGATAAAGCGTGGAGGCAATGTGCAAAAGTTGTTAAAGAGGTGTTAAACGAACCTGGTAAAGTAATCCCTCTTCGATATTTGGAGAAACGTCGTGAACGATTACGACTTCCAGTCAAGATCCGAACTTTTTTATCCCGAAATCCAGGTCTTTTCGATGTCTATTATGATCGAATCAAACCCAAGACTGAACCTGTCAAGTTTTTAAGGTTTAGTGATGCGCTCCAACGCGTTTTAGATGAGGAGGAAATGATTTATCTTGAAAACGAACCGTTACTTGTTGCTAAGTTGTGTAAATTATTGATGATGTCCAAAGACAATGTAGTTAACGCAGATAAATTGCTTCACGTGAAGAGGGAATTTGGTTTTCCTAATGATTTTTTGGTGAATTTGGTTCCGAAATATCCAGAGTATTTCAAATTAAACGGAAGTCCAGGAGAAGGAAATTCATATTTGGAATTGATTACTTGGAACCCTAATTTTGCAAAATCAGTGATAGAACAAAGGGCCGATGATGAATCAGAGTCAACAGGCATAAAAATCCGACCATCTTTCAATTGGAAGCTCCCATCAGGTTTTCTAATCAGGAAAGAAATGAGAGAATGGATTAGAGACTGGATGGAACTTCCATACATATCACCATATGACGATGCATCAGATTTAGATCAAGCATCTCAAGAAATGGAGAAGAGAACAGTGGGTGTTTTTCACGAATTACTCTCATTGTCATTATACAAAAGAATCCCAGTACCAATATTAGGCAAATTTACAGAAGAATATAGATTTTCAAACTCATTCTCAAGTGTATTCACAAGGCATTCAGGAATCTTTTACATGTCACTGAAAGGTGGGATTAAAACAGCAATGTTGAGAGAAGCTTATAAGGGAGATGAGTTAATTGACAGAGACCCATTACTAGAAATCAATGATAATTTCATTTTGTTATTGGCTGAAGGACATAAACAGAGGATAGAAAAACTAAATCTTCAGAAACAAGCAGTTGAAAACAATACTACACCAAACACAGGCTTCCCAAATGTCATGCATATGGAATGAAGGTAACAACATGCACATAATTTTATTCATGTTGCAGTTTGCAAATGGAATGAAGGTGACATTTTTTTGATTGCAAATTTATTCCTGTTATAGTTCTTTTTAACTTACTCCTAATGCACCTACCAAGATCACACAAGTTTTATGAATAAAACTCTATACAAAAACATAGTATGCTCAATATATATGAGGAGAGGTGAATCATTACACAATGGTTGCTATGGACACTTCAAATGTTCATAAGTTGGCAGTTTTTACATTATTTCTAGTATTTCACTTAGTTTCCAGTGTGCCAATTCCCCCTTTTGCCCCTCGTCCGCTCTGTAATTTCCAATTAGCCCTTGCAAATCAAGCGTGTGCGTATCTTCCATCATGGCGACTCCCTCCTTCTCCCCTCTCTCCTCCATCACCTTTCCCACCTGTTTACCCTTCTTCACCTCCTCCACCTGAATATCATAGACACAGGCATAGACATGTTCATTCACACATGCATGAACATGGTCCTGATGAACAAACCCACAATCAAACTCGTGATCATGATCGTGGTCATGGTCATCGTAGACGACATGATCATCATCATAACCATGGTCATAGTCATCATAGACATAGAATGTCACCCGTAGAACAACAATGTTGTAAGTGGTTGGCACAGGTTGATGATGAGTGTGTGTGTGAGTTACTTGGTCGCTTGCCTCCATTTCTTGCTAGACCTGTTCATGAATACACCGTAAGAGTTGCAGGCTCTTGCAACACGACGTACACGTGTGGGGCCCAATTAAGGATTTAAACATTAATTAAGTTTATGTTTTCAATGCATTTTAATATATAAGCAAGGAAGGTTATGATTTTTTTATGTGGTTTCTTGTCTCTCTCTTGTTTTTATCATTGAGGTTATTTTTCTATAGCTTGCTATAAGACCGTGGCATCTACATATGTACAAATTTTATCATTAAAAGGAATTGATTCAATGCTTGTAGCTTTTCCCATATTTGTACATAAAAAGATTGGATTTTGTGATCTTTGTATGTAAGTATTGTTGGCGTATGTTTTTTTATCGACTTAGTTATGTAAATGGTAAATGGTAGTGTACATGGGAAAGTGCAAATGCCACTTTCTAAAGTATAAAATTTTAACATCACGTAATAAACTTATTTTGTAAAAACAAACAACCATAATTAAAATTATATACAAAGTGATTCAACAACCATCCCAAATTCAATTACAAAATCCAACCCGAAATGCCATAAATCTAAAAGTTTGTGGATAGAATAAAGAGAAAACATTGGAAATGGTCCATGTGGTATGCTGTTTTTTTTAAGGTCCAAATTTTTTATTTTAAAAAAATTCTTTTGATAGGGTTTGATTGTGGTTTTGGTCATTTAAGTTAACAGCTGTAAGGTTAAATCTGTTAAGTTATACTAAATCACTATTTTACCCTTCATTATGGATTTCTTAATAGTGCCTAGTTTATCCAATGGACCCTGCCTACACCCATCTCTTCCCCCACAAAACGGCCCCAGCATCCACCTCCTTCGTCTCCCCTGAGTGAAACGAATCAACTAAAAAACCCGAGTGGATTAAGACTTAATAATATGCTATTCTTTTTTTAATAGAGAATGATTTATCAAAAAAATAATAATAATAATAAATAGTGGCTTGAATACTGCAAGTGTAAGAATAAAAGAAATACTAATGCGATTTAAAAATATGCTATTCCTTATAACCCATCCAAACATGCATGACCATATAAATTGGACATATAAAAAAGTTCCAGGGGCAAAATTGTAAAATCTCTTAGCTATCTATCAATTCAAAGTTTAGTCTCCGCCAAAATTAACTTGTGAATTGGTACCTATTGTTGCTTCGATTGACTAGTAACTTGCAGTTGCCACCGCTGTCCCCTTTTCAACCTTTCGGATGTCACTGCCAAGGCTGTCGGGCCCCATGCCGGAAAAACCCTGAGACCGATTGTACAAGAATTCACTTATAATCACCAAAGCAGGCCCAACAACAAGCTCAGTCCATGCCTCATCGGCTTCTATACCCTTTTTCTGAAAGACTTTAGTGGCATCTAACCGGTGAATTTTCCACCCTTTAACGTCTCTTAGCCGGTATATTTTTTCCAGTTGTCGGTTAACAAGATTGTATGTATTGATCTTTGTTTCATTAATGGCCGCTTCTAGTAATTTGGCGCGAGCTTTTTCATCTGAGGATGATGAATATTCAGTACGGAAATACGAGTCGAATTCTGGCACTCCGATTGCTCTACGGATCCCTTTTGAGTAATCGGCATTAGGGTTATACATGTTTCTGACTTCCTCCACCATCCCAGAAGCCACCATCCGGTCAACACGTTCCGCCAAAATTTGGTTGTGCACCACCGTTGCAATGTCAACCCACAAGAAGCAAACATCGTACCTGTTGATGCAATGCAATCAACATAATGTAAATATTTGATGGACATGTTTTGTGTTATATAATCAAGGGACGATGAGATAGTGATTATTAATATTGTTAACAAATACCAGAAGGCTTTTAGCCCAGTGATATCATGTATTGTCTTCTCTCTTTGAAGTTGAGAGTTCAAGTCTCGTTAAGAACATATGTGGTATTTAGGTGTAGTTTAGGAGTAGTAGATTATATTTGTCTTTCCAAAAAAATTGTTAACTAATATTGAATCGTTAGTAATATTAAACCACACAATCCCACACAATCTGGAAAATAATATTGATGATGAAAATGTTAATTATTTGCAAATAATTAATCGGAGATTATTATTATTTAATCATCAAGTTTCTTCTAAAAGATCAAATTGTAAGAAAAATAGAAGAAAAATAATTTAATCATCAAGTTTCTTCTAAAAGATCAAATTATAAGAAAAACAGAAGAAAAGTATGTTTGGTAATTGGTAAGACAATGAATGGGCTTTGCCCAACCCTTAGCATCTAATAAAGCCTTTGATATGATGAGATATTGATTATTACTATTGTAACTAAAATAAAGCCTTTGGTATGATGAGATACTGATTATTAGTAAAATAACTAATATCAAATCGTAAGTAATATTAAAGCATACAATCCGACAAACAAATTGATGATGAAAATGTTTTTTATAGTTAATCAGAGATTATTATTATTTAATTATCAAGTTTAGTCTAAAAGATCCCATTATAAGAAAAATAGAAGAAAACAAAATACTAGGCTTTTCCCTAAAGCCTTTGTAAGATAAAGACAACTAAACCTTATAAATCCACTCAAGGTTAATCCCTCCACCTATGCGGGGGAACTAAAGAAACTAGCCAATTTGCTAATTCATGTATAATTTGCAACACCTTATATATATATAACATATAGTTATTTATGAGAGTTAGAATCATACTTTCATATTAAAAACATAATTATCTTATATTTCCTGAAATACCTTGATTTGAACTCGTATTTCTCATCGTCCACCAATGCTTCAACGAACGAGTTCGATCCACCAGCGATTATCGGCACCTTCCCTCTCTGGGTGATGGATTTCATGGCCAGTAAAACTGCCCTTGCGAAGTTATCAGCAGTGAAATCCGACTCCGGATCAACAATTCCGAGGAGGTGGTGAGCCACTCCATTGCATTCCTCCTCGGTGATTTTATTGGTGACGATATCTAATCCTTCATAGACTTGTATTTTGTCTGCATTTATTACCTCCCCCTGAAACCGGGTGGCAAGGTCAATAGAAAGTTTTGATTTTCCGGTGCCTGTTGCACCCATCACAACCACCACTTTTTCCATTCCTCTAGTGGTTATCTGCATTATTGGTTTTTGAGCTTGCTTGTGCATCGTCCTATTTGTTCTTATTATATATACTCTGTCTAAGAAATTTGAAGGTGTCTATAGCATTCACTCCTTTGTATAAATTGGAAATAATTTTATTGATTATTTGCCAATTTAGAAAAATAAAAGTGGACACTAATCATTGAAATTAAAGAGCAATTTAAAGTTACGTGATTTTTGAAATACATAGAAATCAGGAGATTTTACAATTAACACAAAATATTTAAATACTGAAATTGTCTAAATTGGGAGATACATAAATTTGGAGAATTAAATAAAAAAAAAACTCACTCCGATTTCTTTCTACCTTTTGATATTTCTCTTATGAGAAATTAAATATCCTCCTACCTTTTGTTTCTACAAATCTTCTTATCCATTTAAATGATGATACGTATTACATTAATATACTAAAATATCATTAAATGAACATTAAATGTTACACATGTCACCATTTAATTGGATAGGAGTATTTGTAGGAAAAAAAATAAGAAAATATTTAATTTCTCTTCTCTTATTTATCTGTCAAGGAATTGGCAATGTCAAGGTGTTCCTCACCTTCGCTGTTAAATAGACAAATACTATAATGTTTCCGACTCTCAATCAAATCGGATAGAATGCATACATGCGTTAATTAAAAAGTATATATTTAATTCTTATTAAATTACGTAGCCGCATATTAGTTTATTTTTTTATTTTTCCTAATAAGGTAATTTTTATACTAATAGTATTTTTACCAAATAAGATGACTTTTAAATAAATTACCGTTTAAGCCTTATTAAATTGATATTTTGTGTGAAATAGTTTGTATACGTTATAAAAAGTCTCTATTAGGTAAAAAATAAATATATTAACAAATTTATATATCTAACAGTTTTATCACAGGTAGATATTAATAAATTGATTTTGATTATATATTATTCAAATAGTCAGATGTGTAAAACTGAAAATTTGGATAGAAATGACATTGCCGAGGTAGGTTAACCGTTAACGGACCAAAAGTCACACAATTATATTGAAATGAATATAATTGTCTAAATCCTTTTATTAATACATTAAGTCATTGTTATAGTAATATAATATGATTTTCGATAGCAAAAAGATTAATTATTTGTACTAAAACGGAAAAAAAAAAAAATGTTTCCTAACTCAACTTTTATCATTTTGACACGTATTAACAATTCCATGTTT